GTGGCTCAGTTGGTTATGCGTCTGCCTTTGGCTCAGGTCCTGATCCCAGGGTCTCAGGATTGAGCCCCGTGTCAGGCTCCGTGCTTAGTGGGGAGTCTGCTTCTCCCACTCCCTCTCCCACACCCCCTGCTTATGCTCAAATGAGAGCTTTCTCTCTCACGCTCTGTCTCAAATAAATAAAATCTTTAAAAAAAGCCAAATGGGTAAGTTTATATTTTTATATATATTTTAGTGGGACATTCTCATAATCCCACTCTTTAATTTGTAGACACCTCATTTTGTTAAAGCTATTTTACTAGTTTTTTCCTAATCTGAGTACGTTCATATGATTTTTCCCTCCTATCTGTATTACTGTACTATCAGAAGGTCCTCTTTCTTTAATGTTGTTTACTTCTTTATTTATAAATATTGCAATAAAAAATTAAACTTCTGGCATGTGTTATGGCCCTGCATCAACTCTTACATTTCCTTTTATCTTCGCTGCCTCAAACTTTCCCCTTCAGCAAAGCTGAATTATACCTTGATACTTGCATATTTGGGATCTTATGTTTTTATACAATTAGTCCTAGTGTTGAGGGATCCCCAAGACCACTCTAGGATGACTCACAGGATTCAGCAGATAGTAGTACTCGTGACTACGATTTACTACAGTGAAGTAATCCGGAGCAGAATCAGCAAAGGGAGAGGGCACCTGGGAAAAAGTACAGGGAGAACCGGTTGAAAGCTTACAGAATTCTCTTCCAATGGAGTCACACAGGAAACACTTAATTCCCTCAGGAACAGGCTTGACAAACTAAGATGTTGCCAGCCAGGGAAGTTCATGAGCAACTCGTGTCCAGGATTTTTATTTGCATCTGTTCATGTAAGCACTCCCTGCCTGGCACATGCCCACATTCTGGCCTCTCAGAAGGAAAGTCATTGTTGGCTGTAACCGTAATATTTGTACAGGTGATTTAAGCATAGTGAGCTATTCTCATCAGTGAATAGTGGGTATCTTTCTGAAATCTGAGTTCCCAGATGGCAGCCAGGGACCAACCTTGTAACCATGCTGTCCAAAGAAAGGATAATAATTCAGGACTGCTATGTTAACTCTTTTTTTCCGTAGTCCGTCTTTCTGTCATCTCCATGATATGGTTATTCCCATAAAAACATTCTGCTTAAAACTGCAAGGTTCTATATCCCAAGACATTTTTTGGATTGGTGCTAGGTCTAAGACCCAAGGGTGTTACAAAGATGAATGAAATGCAGTTGATTGGTTTAACAACAGGAAACCTTTGTATGAGTCAGATTGTTAAAAGTGCCGCAGTGAAGTTATTAATAAAGTATCATCAGAGCACAGAATAGGAAGGACTGAGTGAAAGGAAATTGGTAAAGATTTTCAAGTAGATAGTATTTCATTTGAGCCTTGAAGGTGTTTAGGCATTAGGCTGGTGGGGTAAGATGGTCAAGGTTATTTGAGGTGGAGAGAAAGCTAAAGTACAGATGCCTGAAAATACAGGTTGGCTCGTGTCAAAGTGAACAAGTTTGGCTATTTAGTTGGTTTTTCAGAGAGGGTGTTGAAACGGTGAGGTTGAAGAAGTTGGGAGAGGTCAGCTGTGAAATGTAAAAGATTTTTTTTTTTAACTAAGGAATGTTTAGTTTTTTTTTTTTTTTAAAGATCTTATTTATTTGACAGAGATCACAAGTAGGCAGAGAGGCAGGCAGAGAGAGAGAGGAGGAAGCAGGCTCCCCGCTGAGCAGAGAGCCCAATGTGGGGCTTGATCCCAGGACCCTGAGATCATGACCTGAGCAGAAGGCAGAGGCTTTAATCACTGAGCCACCCAGGTGCCCCAGGAATGTTTAGTTTTTTGCTTAGAACATAGGAGCCAAAGAATACCGATAGTAGCATAAAGCTATTTTTTTCAACCACATGGAGGTCATGATCCATTAGTAGGTTGTAAAATCAGTTTAATGTCTTTTTTTTTTTTAAGCATTTTAAAAAAGAAATGGGATATTTCATAAGGTATCATATTGTACTGCACATACGGAATGTGTTTCATAAAATGTTTGATATAAATATGTGTATAAATATATATGTGTATACATATACATACACACATATGTCCTGAGTTGTGATATTAAGTGTATTTCTGTGGGTTACAGTGAAAAAAGTTTAGAAGAAAAATTATAAGACTGGAAACAAATTAGGGAATCATTTTAGACTGTTTTATTTCCAACAATTTGGTAACCTAGATATCTGAAAATGTTTCCACCTACATACACCTAGGAATACTAAATAAAAAATAAGGCAATAAAATGCACAACTGAGTGATTGACAATGTAAGTGGATATTCAGGGGTTAGAATGAAGAGTAACTGAAAGCAGAACAGTAAGCATGTGAGTGAATGTTCGCGGTTTGGGAGACGTGGGAGAGGAGGTGGTTCGTCTTCTAAATTTAGAGGTTTTCCTTTTAATATAGGAGATAAGGTGAGACATATCCAGAAGTCAGTGCAAGACAATAATTAAGGAGTTAGATCTCTCATCTTTTTAAAAAATTTTACTTACTTATTAGAGGGAGAGTTTGCACAGTGGAGGGGGGCAGAGGGAGAGGGAGAAGCAGACTCCCCGCTGAGCAGGGAGCCTGATGTAGAGTTGATCCGAGGACCCCGAGATCATGACCTGAGCTGAAGGCAGCTGCTTAACCAATGGAGCCACCCAGGCACCCTTGGATCTCTCTTGTCTTGGGGTTTGGATTGAAGAAGACAGATCTGTGAATGTGAAACCATGGTTCCATGCCTTATAAAGATTTGGAATTCAAATTCATGCTACCTAAATGGTCTTAAAACCAGAAATCTGGGAAATTAATATAAAAACTTGATCCCAAGCCAGTTCCTGAGGTGCTTGGCAAAAGCCAGGCAAAACCACTTTCGAGAGGCACACATTCTATCCAGGCTACACGAAGTTGAAAGCTACACGAGGATTCAAACCACCATAAGTGAGAGCATGAGCCACAAATTGAAGGATCAGGTTTCCCCCCAAACTTTAGCAGATTAGAGCTATCTAGTAGAGACTTTAAAATCAAATTTCTTAAAATGATTAAGAACAAAAGCGGAATCTAAAGTGTAAAGATCCCAAGAGGAAAAGAGTAAAATTGAAAAAGAGTCTAGAAGTAAGAATATCATCATTAAAATAAAAAATGTGTTCAGTGAGTTAAGTTGTACCTTAAACCCAACTGATGGAGAATTATTGAAGTAGAAGACCCATGGGAAATGATCTGGAATGCAGCAGAGATTGATAAATAAAAATGTGAAGTTGAATCGAGTCAAAAATAGAATGAAAAGATACTTCATATTTCTAATAGGTTGCAAATGTAGATAATAGAAGTAATGAGAGGCAGCATTCAGAAGTGTAATGACTAAGAATTTTCCACAATTGATTTAAGAAGCACAGTGAGTCTGGGGGCATCTGGTTGGCACAGTCGATTGAGCATCTGACTTGTTTTCCGCTTAGGTCATGGTCTTGGGGTCATGGGATCAAGCCCCAGTTTGGGCTTCAAGCTTACCTCTGAGTCTGCTTGGGACTGACTCATACTCCTATTCCCCACCCCCTCTAAAATAAAATCTTAGAAAAAAAAACAAAACACAATGAGTCTAAAGCCAAAAGTAAAAAAAATTCCATGTCTACTTCAGAATGAAACTGCAGAACACCAAAGACCTAAAGATCTGAAAACTGTTAAAGGTAAAAAAGGCAAGAAGTTATTTCAGTGATCAAGTTAGAAGCTTATATGTCTGATGTTGGAGGCTGGGTCTAGAAGACCTGTTATGAGAATTAGGGGTGGTGTGATTTGGTAACACTGCAAGTATTGAGTTTGAGGATTTAGGAAGAAGGGATTTAAAATGACGTTGAAGCTTCCAGTTTGGTTATCGAGGCAGATGACAGCACTTAATTCAAGATTGGCAACAGAACGATGGAAAGATTTGGGATGTGCCAAATATGGAGGGTCAAGGGAAAGGTAACATTGTTTAGGACTTGCTGAGTTTGAAGTAACCACGAGAAACCTACATACACATAGCCTACATACACATACACATGGTAGTAGGTGATTAGAAATACCAATTCAGAGTCTAGAAGGGCCGAACATGAGAACACATAGGTCATTTTTGTAAGTGATTATTGAAAGTCTGAGATCGCCGAGAGTAGAATGCAAGGTGAGAAGAGATGCAGCATGTTTTGGAACATGGGGGAATGGACCTCTTTAAGAAGTAGATAGGGAATGAGCAGATAGAACATGAGAATCAAGTGGTATAAAACTGAGAAGCTCCGTGAGATTTGACCATCTGGAGATCATGGAAGAAAGAGAGGACATGCTTCTTTCCCGCAGCAAGGAGATGTGACAACACATGTGCAATATTGCCAGCACGGACATGCATAAGAGACTCAGTGCTTAAGGTCTTTATTCAGGGCTGATCACGTAGGCATCCCCTGACTTTTGAAAACGTCTTTTCTGTGAATTAGAAGTAATATTCAGATGTTAGTGGTCTAATGGAATGAATAGAAGGTGAGAAATTGGAAAACAAAAAAGTTGGACAGTAAAGGAAGAATAAAATCACCTGGTTTAAAATATGACTAGTTGACCATGCAGCAATATACCATTTAGAATTCATTGTATATTGTCTCTTTTAGTCTTTGAAGATAAGGACATTATTTTTCCCTTCTAAATCCACCATGGAAACTGTGGTGCTCTTTAAATTATTAAGCAGTTTTTGGTGCTACTTTATTGTTTTCTACCAGATAGAGCTCTACTTTTTCTTTTCTCAAGTGTGCTCCATCCCCCTCTCTAAACCACTTCCTCTATATTTATCCTTTTTTTCAACTTCTTTTTCTTATTTATTCATTCGTGGCATTAACCTAGTACAGTCAGGAGTAAAGGGGTTATTTAGGGTTTAGATCGAAACATTAAAAAGTTCAGTGGGGGTTGGAGGTGTATTACTCTGTCAAAATTGCTCATCTTACTTCTCTAGGAAGAATATAAAAAAACAACATTGTGAAGCAATTGTTGGAGCACAATGTGGCAATGCAGTGTTAAGAGGAGCCCACGTCTATGTTCCAGGAATTGTGTCAGCTTCAAAATGTAAGTGCAGTGTTTCAGCCTCCCTGTACAAGAAAAGATTCTTTAAAATCTGTATACATTATCAAGTGGAAAACGTATTAAACTATCATTCAGATGCATTTCAAATTTTATCAGATATTTTCCAAGTTTTACATTTGGGATAGCTAGAAAGAGATTTATCTGATATGGTCTAACAAATTGGGCATCTGTATATGGTTTTTTGCCATTTTTTTTTCCATAAAAGAGTGTGTGAGATGAAATTTATAGGATCATTACTGATTAATAGAGTGTAAGATGTCAGTGAAATTTTATTTTGTATTCTTAACTCCATTGCCCTCAGACTTCCATTATTTGTGAGGGTAACCTTTAGAACTTGGGATCTTAATATTGGAATAAAAGCCAGTATTCTTAATTGACTCACTCAGTTGATGACATTTGCTTAGTAAGCTAGTCAGTGTGGTTCAGTCTTAATTTATTGGGCTTGAAGTCAAGACACATGGGTTTTGATCTATTCGAAAGTTATTCGGTCTGTGGACTTAGTTATTTTATCTATGAAATGAATAATTTGACCTACATTAGGTTGTGCTAAACTACTGGCCAAGTCTGGCCCATGTCTGTTTTTGCATGGCTCACAGCTGAAAATGGGTTTTCCATTGAAAAGATTGTTTTAAAAAAATACAAAGAAGAATATGGCAAGAGACCTCATGTGGCTCATAAAGCCCAAGGAATTCACTTGCCTTTTGTAGGAAAAGTTCATTGACGTTTGATCTATGTGATTTGAACAGTCCTTCGAATGCCCTAGTTGATAGACTGCTCACTACTGTTCCCAAGTTAATGTGCTAGACAAATTTATGACAGGCTATGTCTAAGAACATGAAAGTGGAATTGAGTTTCCCATTATTAAAGTCAGTGGGATTGGTTACTGAAAATCATTTAATGAAATGGCTACAAAACATAAACTTAATCAGCCATAAGAATCAACTCCATATGCTGTGTAGTTTCAAGGTGTTCTGAGTATGTACATATATATATACACGTAGGTACATGTACCTGTGTATACACATGCTCATGTATATACATACATGCACACAGACAGATACATGAATGTACTTATCATTAAAATCTCTGCCTTAATTGCTATAATAGAAAACCAGAGAAATACCAACAAGGTTATGGGATTTAGAAACCTTTCTTTGAGGGATTTTAGTGTACATTTTTGATGAATCATTTTATTTATTTATTTATTTATTTTTATTTTTATTTTTTTAAAAGATTTTATTTATTGATTTGACAGAGAGAGATCACAAGTAGACAGGCAGGCAGAGAGAGAGAGAGAAAGAGAGAGAGAGAAGCAGGTTCCCTGCTGAGCAGAGAGCCCGATGTGGGACTCGATCCCGGGACGCTGAGATCATGACCTGAGCCAAAGGCAGCGGCTTAACCCATTGAGCCACCCAGGCGCTCCTGATGAATCTTTTTTTTTTTTTTTTTTTTTTTTTTTAAAGATTTTATTTATTTTTTTGTCAGAGAGAGAGAGAGCGTGAGAGTGAGCACAGGCAGATAGAGTGGCAGGCAGAGCGAGAAGCAGGCTCCCTGCTGAGCAAGGAGCCCGATGTGGGACTCGATCCCAGGACTTTGGGATCATGACCTGAGCCGAAGGCAGCCGCTTAACCAACTGAGCCACCCAGGCGTCCCGTGATGAATCTTTTTAAACAAAACTTAGAACTTTGAGGAGTGAGCCAAAGATACCAAAACTTATATGAAATTGTTTAGGGAATGTTAGGTTTGGAAAAAATAATTTAAATATTAAATATCCTTCATTTTCTGCTTCGCTAAAGGGTTCCAATTTAGATAGGATGTTTTGAAACTTGTATTTTTTTTGTTCTAGAAAAATAATCTCCCATTAGATATATTGTTATGAACACTTAAAAGTGTAAGGGGTTATTTTGAGATAACGAGCCAATTTAGACCTCTTCAGCCCACTATTGATGCCCTTAGATGTCCCGAGTATAGCTTAAAGAATTTTCACTATTCTTCTACCAAAATATGGTCTAATTAGTATAAGCCGCTTTTCTTTTTTCTTAGTTATGAAAGCTGGAGATGTTATTTCTGTATACTCTGATATTAAAGGCAAATGCAAAAAAGGAGCCAAAGAATTTGATGGAACAAAAGTATTTCTTGGAAATGGGATTTCTGAACTAAGCCGCAAAGAAATCTTCAGTGGACTACCTGAACTAAAGTATGTCATCAAACGTTTGGGGGAAATATGCATTCTTTTTGGTGGTTTGAGGAAAATAAAAACAATGTAAAAAATATATCTAATTGCATTATAAAATTTTTTTGGTATAAATTTGACTGGAAAATAATTGCTCAATGCATATTTCCATGTTTTTTGGAAAAATTACTTTTGGGTAAAAGTAAATGTTTAAATTAAAGTTTTTAAATTAAATTAAATTAAATTTTAAATTAAAGTTTTTATTAAAAAAATTTTTTTATCAGAAAGCCAGGAGTCACATGGCTACTTGTGGTCAAGAATTAATACTTGAATCTGGGGTGCCTGGGTAGCTCAGTCGGTTGAGCATCCAACTCTTGATTGGTCGTGGGATCGGTCCCCATGTCCGGCTCCACGCTCAGTGTGGAGTCTGTTTTAGATCTTTCTCTGCCCCTTCCTGGCTCATGCTCACACATGCTCTCTCTCGAATCTTTTTTTTAAAAAAAGAACATTTGGATTTACTCAAACCAATTTAAAAAACAGTTTAAAATCATCTTGAGTTGCTACTGATTCTAAATAAATTAAATCTGTTGGCGATCCAGAGTCATTTTGCTTCATATTTTCAGTCTGTTTAAGGAATTCTGTGGACAACTCCATTACTCCACCATTGACAGCTGATGTAGACGTGCTGAAAACTGTATTTATCTGTGCAGAACTGGACTACATCCCTGATTCCTGGAACAGTTTTCATGTTGCAGCAGTCTGGGTTTATAGTTGAAATTAATTCCTTTGAAGAGACAGATTATTGGATAAACTAACTGTGGATAGCAGTACTTTCCAAGTGGCCAAGAGCAAAGATTTTATTTTCCTCAGAAGACTTTATCAATATAAAGATAAAGCTTATAAATGTTCTGTTTATCTTTAGGTCTGTAATAGAAAATTGACATTTTGACTTCCTCCTTTGGTTCTGTTATTAGTGGTACACTCTTCATCCTCTCTTTTTTTGTGACTGGCTTGAATGTTTCCCCCTGAATTATAATTGATATATAATACTGTATTTCAGGTGTACAACACAGTGATTCAATATTCATATGCATTAGGAAGTGGTCACCACAATAAGGCATTACCATCTGTGGTTATACAAAGTTAACAATATTATTAACTATATTTCCTATGATGTACCTTACATCCCCGTGTTGTATTGATAACTTATTTCATCTTGTTTATAATTTATTTAGTCCCCGTAACTCATGTATAACTGGAAAGTTAGTCTTTTTCACCTTATTCGTTACCCCAACCCCCTTCTCTGTGGCACCCATCAGATCTCTATGTTTCTATTTCTGTTTTGTTTGTTTATTTGTTTTTTAGATTCCACATATAAGTGAAATCATACGGTATTTGTCTTTGTCTGACTTACTTCACTTAGCATAATACCCTCTGGGACAGTCTACGTTGTCATGTAGGCAAAATATTATTCTTATGACTAATATTCCTTTGTGTGTGTGTATGTGTAGATGTGTACCACATTTTCTTAATCCAGTCATTTATCTGTGGACTCATTTCTTCCTGTGGTGGATTTCTACATTTTTTTAAATTTCCACTTAAAATTGATTTCTAGTTTCTGGGGCGCCTGGGTGGCTCAGTGAGTTAAAGCCTCTGCCTTCGGCTCAGGTCATGATCTCAGGGTCCTGGGATTGAGCCCTATATCGGGCTCTCTGCTCAGGCGGGAGCCTGCTTTCCTCCCTCTCTCTCTGCCTGCCTCTCTGCCTACTTGTGATCTCTGTCTGTCAGATAAATAAATAAAATCTTTAAAAAAAATTGATTTCTAGTTTCATATTGTTGTGGTAGGAAGAGAAGCTTGATATGATTTTAGTCTTGTTAAATTAGTATTTGTTTTGTGGCATAATATGATCTATCCAGGAAAATGTTACATGGACAGTTGAGAAGAATGTGTATTCTGCCATTTGTTTTTTGTTTGTTTGTTTGTTTGCTGTTTAGGGATTGAATATCCTGTATGTATCAAGTCCATGTGGTCTGATGTGTTGTTTGCTGTTATTACATTATATTCTGTCTTTGTGATCTATCCTCTGATGTAAATGTGGTGTTAAAGTCCCCTACTATAATCGTTACTATTATTAATGATTCTCTTTATGATTATATAATGCTCTTTGTCTCTTACTACAGCCTTTGTTTTAAAGTCTATTTTGTGTCCTACATGTATTGCTACTCCTGCTTTCCTTTCATTTTTATTCGCATGGAATATTTTTTTATAGCCCTGTACTTTCAGTCTGTATTTGTCTTTGGGTCTGACTTGAATCTCTTGTAGTCACCTTATAGATGGGTCCATTCCTTCATGCTATGTGTTTTGCTTGGATAGTTTAGTTCACTTTCCTTTAAAGTAATTACTGATATATGTGTACTTATTGCCATTTTGTTATTTGTTTTCTGAATGTTTTTGTAATCCTATGTTCTTCTCTTGGGATTTGGTTATTTTAGTGTTACGCTTGGATTACTTCCTCTTTATTTTTTGTGTACCTATTATAGGTTTTCGGTTTGTAGTAACCATGAGATTTGTCTATAGTAACCTATGTATATAACAGTCCATTTCACATGTGGTTGCTTAAATATGAACACATTCCAAAACATTTCTCCCCTCCCTGCTGCATTTTAGGTTTATGCCATTATATTTTACATCTTTTTATTTTATGTATTCCTTAACTAATTATTATAGATACAGTTGATTTTACTACTCTTATCTTTTAACCTTCAGACTAGCTTTGTAAGTGGTAGATCCACTGCCTTTATGATATAGTTGCCTTTACCAGGTAGAATTATTTCTTTCATGTGTTTTATTTCTAGTTACGGCCTTTCCTTGTAGAAGTCTGTTTAATATTATAAAACTAGGTCAGGGGTGATGAACTCCTTTAACTTCTGCTTCTCTGGGAAACTCTTTATTTTAAATTTTTGACCCTTTAATTATGATGTATCTTGGTGTGGATCTCTTTGGGTTCATCATTTTGGGGATTCTCTTTTTCCTAGATCTGGACATTTGTTTCCTTTGCCAGATGACTGAAGTTTTCATCTATTATTTCTCAAATAAAATTTCAGCTCCTTTCTCTATCTCTCTCCTCTTTCGGGGACTCCTATACAGGGAATGTTAGTGCACCTGATGTTAGCTCACAGGCCCCTTCAACTATTCTCATTTTTAAAATTCCTTTTTCTTTTTGTTGTTCAGTTTGGGTAATTTTTTTTTTTTTTTTACTACCTTGTTTTCCAGAGCACGGCCTTGTTTTTCTATATTAATAATCTGCTGTTTCTTCCCTATAGTGTATTTTTATTTCTGTTATTCTTCAGCCCTGATTGGAACTTTTTAATCTTTTCTTTTTGCTGGAAGTTCTTACTGTGTTTATCCTTTTTTGTCCCGAGTTTGATGAGCAATTTTATGGCGATTACTTTGGACTTTCTATTGGATAAATTGTTTATTTCCATTCTGTTTAGTTCTTTTTCTGATGTTTTGTGTTATTCTTTTGTTTGGAACATATTCTTCTGTCTCCTCATTATGCTTAACTCTGTGTTTCTGTGTATTAGGTAGTTCATCTACATCTCCTGGCTTTGAAGGAGTGGCTTTTACGTAAGCGACGTCCTGTAGGGCCCAGGAGTGCAATTCTCTTACCCTGGTACCCAGACACAGGTGCTTCAGGGGTGTCTCCTGAGTGGGCTGTGTGTGTCCCCCTCTTATGGGAGCCCCTTGACAGCTGCAGGTGCACTCTTGGGTGATGCTGGCTTCCCTCCCCTGCCTGGTTAGCTGGAGGCCTATTCCTGATGGATACAGGTGTGCTGGTGGATGGAGTCCTATAGACTGCGAGGCTCTTCTGAGGGACAGGGTTGTATGGGGCTCTCAGTGGGGCGAACACCCTGGCAGTAGCATTATAGAAAGAGGATTTCAAAATGGTGTCTGTCATCTCCAGCATCAGCAGGGCAGAACAAGATAGCAAAAATGGCTGTCAGCAGTGTCTTACTCCTCAGGAGGGCTCCCCTCCCCCATCCCCTTCATCAGGTGCTCCGAGATTAGTAAGTAGGCCTACTTCACCTATGGTCTATGTGCTTTTTGATCTGGCTTTTGATCTTTTTTGATCTTTTTGATGTGGTTTTGATCTGATTTGAAACCATTTGTTCTGGTTTCTGGGTTGAGTTTCTGTGCAAGCTCTTTATGAGTGGGGTTTCTTTTCCTTACAGTTTTGTAGTTTTCCTGGACCTACTTTGTATTGGTTTTTAAGGCCAGATGTTTTGGAAGCTCATCTCTTAATGCATTATCTAAGGGTTGGGTTGTCGGATGTGGAGTTTGAATCTCTCCTCAGGGAGGTAACATTTCTTTGAGGTCTGTTCTGACCGTGGAATGATGCTCCAGAGTTGTAGTTTTTGCCTTAGCAAGACTATATTTTTGCCTCTTCTACTCATCTTGGTGTTGTCCCTTGTTGTGAGGGCTCTCTTCATGCATTTTCTAGGTCCTGTTCAGCCTGTTGTGTTTGGGGGAGGAGGTGAGCTCAGATCTTAATTATTCTGCCATCTTCCACTCTTCATTCTCTTATTATTCAATGTAGTAGTTCCAGTAACTTTGCTGACAGACCTTTCTGAGGAATGTTTGTTGGTAGAAGTAGCAGACAGCCATCTTTCAGAAAGTTGTTGATTTTTTTTTTTTTTTAAGATTTTATTTATTTGACAGAGATCACAAGTAGGCAGAGAGGCAGGCGGGGGTGGGGAATAGGCTCCCCGCTGAGCAGAGCACCCAATGTGGGGCTCAATCCCAGGACCCCAGGAACATGACCTGAGCCTAAGGCAGAGGCTTTAACCCACTGAGCCACCTAGTTACCCCAGTTTTTTTTTCTTTTTTTAACTCAACTTTTAAACTCAGCATTCAGTATGCTCTTAGGATTTCTTTTTCTGCCTATATGAGGAAGAGCATGCTTCCATAACAAAGAAATGCTATGCATATATCATGTTTCTTATTATAAAATTTTAGAACTATGTCTACTAGTGGTACTTTGTTATTGAACTAGTAAATTTGCACCCTTTGTTTTCTTAAATTACAGTGGAGTTTAGTCATAGACTTCATAGAGGTAGATTAATTTACTAACAGCCTTTTTATCATATGAGATCTGGTGCTTTGCATTATTATATGGAGATACATATTACAAAAACAGTTTTATTTTTTATTAAAGATTTTTTTTGGCGTGCCTGGGTGGCTTAGTTGGTCAAGCATCTGCCTTCGGCTCGGGTCATCATCCCCAGGTCCTGGGGTAGAGCCCTGCATTGGGCACCTTGCTCAGCAGGGAGCCTTCTTCTCCCTTTCCTTGTATGGTCCCCATGCCCATGCTCTCTCAAATAAATAAAAATAAAACCTTAAAAAATTTAAAAAATAAAATTTGCCCTATCTTCCCCCCCCCTCCCCAAATAGTCAAAAAGAAAGAAACATAATCCCATACTGGAACAATAATTAGTTTAAATTATTCCTTGTCTAGTTGTTTTAAGTTGAATACTGGAACGATGGACTACTTGTGCTGGTGGTCAGAAGGAGTGCTCAAAGAAATAGCAGAACTTGAAGCGCTAGGTAGGAACTGGATTAGAAAGGCAGACATATAAATGTTAATGTTTGTGAGTATTTTTCAGAGGACTAGTGTCCTGCAAGTCAGAAAGTCATTTAAATTGTGAAAGAGTGAGCAGGTCATGGAATTCAAGGTGTCCAGTAGTGGGTCCAGACTGGGCTGGGGCTGGGGTGTTGATCAAGGTCAGTGCACTGTTGTGTCAACAAACGACTGACTTTTGAATGTGAGGCTGTGACTTTTCAGAAGATTCGTTTGTATTTTTTCTGGTCAGGGGCAGGAACTATGTGGGAAATGTTTAGATTTGAACCTGGCTGGAGCAAGGACAAAAGACTAACTGATTAACTAAGTCTGATTTAACTCTGATTAAAAGTACAGATTCAGACATATCAAGTGGTAAACAAACTAGTGAGGATAAAAGGGATGGGTAGAAGGAGAAAGGAATTAACGTTTATTGTATGACAAAGGATGTTAGAACCTAGTGGACATCGTAGTCATAACCACTGCAGTTGTAGTCCACGAGTATCTACAGAAATCATTTCATCTAAAGAGCAGTGTAAACCGATCCTATTGTGGCGTAATAATAATTTGGTCTTTGGGCTTCTGGCTCACAGCTCCCCAAATCCTTGGAATCTCTGCAGTGATGTGTGTCTTTTATATGCTAATGAGATGACTGGTAGCTGGGGGTCCCTTGATAGCTTCTGGAAGGCACTTGCTGGAGGAACCAACCTTGTATTTAGAATGTTGGAACTTGTAGCTCTATCCCCAGACCTCCAGGGAGGGGTGAGGGCCTGGACATTGAGTTCATATCCAGTGGTCAGTGAATTAATCAATCATGCCTATGTCATGAAACCTCCATAAAGACTCCTAGATGGTGGGGTTCAGGTTGGTCAACACATCTAGGCATGGGGCGGAGTGGTGAACCATATACCTCTTCCTTACCTTCTCCTGTGCATCTCTTTCCTTTGGCCATTTCTAAGTTGTATTCTCCATAGTAAACCATACCAGTAAGTGTTGTTCTGAGTTCTGTGAGTTGTTCTAGTGAATTTTCAAACCCGAGGAGGGCAGTGTGGAAACCCCCAAATTTGCAGCCCATTGATGAGAAGTACAGATGGCAACCCCGACGTGCCACTGGCATCTGGAGCGACACTGGTTGTGTTGGATCCAACTGTTGAGCCTATGGCATCTCACAGTAACGCCTGGCAGATTGTGTCAGGACTGAACTGGAGTGGAGGACTCCCAGCTGGTTTGAGAGAAAACGCCACACATTTGGTGTCAGGAGTATTATGGGTAAAATGAGCCCACCTCCCTACATAAAGCTGAGTGCAAACCACCCATGTAGATGCTTCTCTGCGAACACTGGTTCAGAAGCTCTGACCTCATCTAGTGTCCTGGACCGGAGGAGTTTGTTCTTGTTCTCCCTGTTTAGACTCTTTTCCTTGCTTGTACTCCTGTACCTGGTTTAAATCCAGATTCTTAATCTTGCCTTTATTACCAGAATGCACTTTTTCTGTGCCCCTCTAATCCCTGGAACATGGTGTTGATTTCCCTTTTTTCTTGCTCTCAGTGGCCTGGCCTGATACACCAGGCCATGTTTGGCTTTCTCCAACAGTATTTGTGTGCTTTCTCCTCCCGGTGATGTTCTCTGACAGCCACTCCCTGATGGCAATGTTTGTGCTAATGAATCATCGGCCACCATGTTCTCCTGGGTCCTGGCCCTTCCTGCTCTGATCAGTTCCACTGCCACTTTTAACATGGGATAAAGGTAGAAAAGCTCATCTTGAGGATTGTGTCAGTACTGGGCAGTTACTTTCTAAAGAGATGAGAGAGTTGTGTGGCGTATTTGTGGTTGCCTAGCATCAGCATGATTCTTAGGTATATTTTTATTTTTCATACAAGTACCTAGGCATAGTGCCTTGCAAACTGAAGCATTCAGAAAATGTTTATTGAATTGAAAGCTGTTAACAGTGATCATGAATCTGTTACCAGAAAGATTAGAATGAATCAACAAATAAAGATTCAGATGTTAGAGAAAGACAAATACCATGTGATCTCATATGTGGAATTTAAGAAACAAAACAAATGGATGAAGGGGAAAAAAAGACAAATAAAAAAACAGACTTTTATCGGTAGAGAACGAACTGGTGGTTCTCAGAGGGAAGGTGGGTAGGGATGGGTGAAATAGGTGAAAGGGAATAAGAGTGTGCTTATCCTGGGGTGCTTCTGTTGGTGTGGTCCATTAAGCATCTGACTCTTGGTTTCAGCTCAGGTCATGATCTCAGGGTCATGAGATCGAGCCCCACATCAGGCTCCAAACTCAGTGCTGAGTCTGCTTGTGACTCTCTCCCTTTCCCTCTGCCCCACCCTCATGCATGCATGTGCTCTCTCTCTCTCTCTAAAATAAATAATTTTTTTTAAAAGATTTTATTTATTTGACAGAGACAAGGCAAGAGAGGGAACACAAGCAGGAGGAGTGGGAGAGGGAGAAGCAGGCTCCTTGAAGAGCAGGGAGCCTGATGTGGGGCTCGATCCCAGGATCATGGGATCATGACCTGAGCCGAAGGCAGACACTTAATGGCTGAGCCACCCAGGTACCCCTAAAATAAATAAATCTTTAAAGAAAAAAAGAGTATACTTACGAGTATACTCTTGTATACTTATAAGTAGTATATAAGAGATGAGCACTAAGTGATATATAGAAATGTTGAATCACAATATTGTACACCTGAAACATAACACTGTATACTGGCATTAAAAATAAAGTAAGAATAAATGCTTTATGTTAACATAAATAGTATTTTTAATTGCATAGCTATGTTAAAAAAAAAAAAAAGATTCACGTTCTTTGCCTTTCTCAATTGTTCAACTCTCTGAAGAAACTCCTTTGTGCCTAAATGAAAAATATATGGAACTATCCTTTTTAGCTTTCTGATGACCTTCTATTGCAAGGAACAAGTCATGAAAAATTCACAGCAATAGCCTAAGTATTGTGGTATTGAGTAAAACAGGTTTTTAAAAAGGGAGAACATCTTTTATTTGTTGTGCAATGTGGGTAGTTCCTGGAAGTTGAATTTGTATGGACTCAGGAATTGATGCAGACTAATGTTTGATTTTTCTACTTTTCAGAGGTATAGGCATAAGAATGACAGAACCAATATATCTTAGCCCCTCATTTGACAATGTACTGCCCAGCTACTTATTTTTACAGGCAAGTATATGTCAGGGTAAAATATTTAATGACATTGAGACATAACCTCAGTGAGTTATTTCAAATCTAAGTTTTTTTTTCTATTACTATACTTTTTGTGATTTATTTTTCTGATCTACCTTTGGTAAGCAGTAAAAATAAAAAACAAAAACAAAACAAAAAAACCCAACCTTTGTACATGTTCTCTTCTTTTTCTCAGGTGATTTTTAGCCTTTAAAAAAAAAAAAAAAAAAACCTTCTGTTGCCCAAAAGTGTTTTAATTGCTTATTAGCCTCTACTGCTTTTTCTTGAAAAGTAATTTAGAAAATACATTACTTTAAAATCAGTCCATTACGGGGGCACCTGGGTAGCTCCATCAGTTAAGTATCTGCCTTTGGCTCAGATCATGATCCCAGGGTCCTGCATCAAGCTCCCTGTTCAGTGGGAAATCTGCTTCTCACCCTCTTCCTCCACTTTGTGTGCAATTTCTCTGTGAAATAAATAAAATATTTTTTTAAAAATGCATTACTTGGGGATATTATTCTGTTTTATTTAAGGCAAATTGTTACCCTAGAATAGCAATCCTTATGTGATCAAAACTAATAATGATTTTTTTTTAACTACTAATGATTTAATGGTATAATGTAACTGGTTGCCGTATGGCTTATTGCTATAGATACATGAGTTGTCCAATCTCCTATTTCTAGGTGCCAATCAGAAATAGTAAGATTGGTTTACATTTTACTTTTCTCCTACAGAAATGTGGTAGTGGCGGGGAGATAGGAACCCAGATGTCTTTGAGTGGCATTAGTAGCATAAAACTAGAATTCTTAAGTGGGTGAAGCACCTGAAATTACAAAATTTTGTACATTTTTCTTAGAAAAAGATCCAGAGCTTTGTTATATTTCTGAAAGAGCTTTGGCCTTCAAAATATTGAGACCGCTGAATTGAGGGGGAAAAAATGTGCTCTTTTAATTAAATTGATAGGGGAAATGCATCGTGCATGTGTGTGTCTCGTGTATGAATGTCCAGTGAGATCATAGGATACTCTTGGAAACTGAATTTTCTGACACTGGTATGTTTACAGAAAACCTATTCTTGACAGAGGATGTTGTACTGGATTACCTCCAAAGATTTCTTTATGTTCTCTTATTCTGAATTTTAAAAGGACTTAGAATCATTGGTAGTTGATTTTTTTTTTTTTTTCCTTTATAGAATTTGCCATCTGCTGTAGTGGCTCATGTTCTAGATCCTCAACCCGGAGAGAAGATTCTGGATTTGTGTGCAGCACCCGGAGGCAAAACAACACACATTGCAGCATTAATGCATGATCAGGTGAGACTGTCTTCACAGCAAAAACTACTCTGAACATATTACATGTTTTAGTGTTGAAGGTGGAACCTCACGTAACTTATGGAACATTATATAGACATTTATAATCTGAATTATTTCAGATTCGGCCAAAGTGAAGACTGTTCAGTAATGGCATTCATCACATGTTGAGTTCAGTAGATAATTATCATTTATGAAGACTATCTGAAGATCTTGAATCCCAAATTTACTAATACATTTGTAGAGTAGAAGTCTTCTTCATAAAATTACATTTAAATGCAACATTTAAGAGATTTTTTTATGTTCTTGATTACCAGACTTGACACTTTTTAAACTACTAAAATCTGCCTCTGAAACTTAATTTGATAGCACATTATTGAAGTATCAATATATACATTGATAATATATATGTACATTATGATATGTGCACATCAAACACATTTTCTTGAAATTCATAAAAACCTTATGATCTGGCTTAATTATTAAGCCTATTGCATTGTCATAAAATAAAGTAAGTCTTGGATGACTTTATTTCAGAATTTACAGCTTTGGGGCACCTGGGTGGCTCAGTGGGTTAAGCCTCTGCCTTCGGCTCAGGTCATGATCTCAGGGTCCTGGGATCGAGCCCCGCATCAGGTTCTCTGCTCGGCAGTGAGCCTGCTTCCCCCTCTCTCTGCCTACTTGTGCTCTCTCTCTCTCTCTCTCTGTCAAAAAAAAAAAAAAAAAAAAAAAA